CTGTCTCTCTCTCTCTGTCTCTCTCCACCTGTCTCTCTCTCTGTCTCTCTCCACCTGTCTCTCTCTCCATCTGTCTCTCTCTTAGATTAAGACTGGTGCCCCCTGCAGGTCAGAACGTTTGGCCAAATACAACCAGCTGATGAGGTGACAACTTCCTTTCCTTTTCAAAATAAAGGCACAGCCTTCTTACAGTAGAAAATACAGGCGTTGATGTGATTTGACCTCTGACCTTCAGGATCGAGGAGGAGCTCGGAAACAAAGCGAAGTTTGCTGGTAAAGATTACCGTCACCCAAAGATCAACTGAAGCTCCACGCCCACTTCCTTTCTGTCGTGTGACAACTGACTGACGCCTGATGACCCCTGAAGCCACTCCCCCTACAGCTGGGGTTGAGAGGTCAGAGGTCACAGAGGGTTTGACCCCGCCTTCCAAGCTATAATTCCAGTAATGATGTTTTCTATATAAAACACAAGGATTGAATAAAATCGACAGAGGAAAACAAACATGGCTGACGTGTTATGTTCTGAAATAAACACTAACTTTAAATAAACATTGACCATTCTAAATGCCCCCTGGTGTCTGGCTGCAGTATAGCTCATAAATCTCCTCCTCCATGTTAGCAGATGGGACATGGACCAAACAAGAAAATCAAAATAGACGATAAATAAATGTTTGTCAAAGATGTTTCTGTCATTTCAGGTCGTTCTTATCTCACAGATGTTTCTGATCAGTTGGAAGACGAAGAGACTTTAAACTGGACTGGTTCACACGAACATGTTGCCGTTGTTATTCTAACGTGTGAGTCTGACTCCTCTTCAGCTGAGAGTGTGTATCTACGCCTCAGTCCTGGACCTTGTTCAGGGTAAGTCAGAGGTGAATTGTGGGTAGGCTTACATTACCCAGGAGCCCCAATGGTTGTTGCTATGGGGACAACTCTCTTCAGAGTGTTGTCATGATGATGATCTAAAACAGAAATATACATCTTGAACCATCTCAAGGTTCTCAAGATATTTTCCAGGACTTTTAGAACAGTGAAACCTGGAAACTGTTCAAGGACGTGTGGAGCTCAACATCTTTTTCTTTTCAAACAAACATCAGGGTTTATAAAGTGAATCTTCAGATTCAAAAACTTTCAAAAACTCTAGTTTCAGCTGTGACACAAACAGAAACCAGACAAAGATTCTCACACTCAGTCAGATCCATTATTCATGTCCACACACACACACACACACA